TACTTAACATCTCTCAATCATGCCCTTCCCTAGCCCACTGAATACCGGACATGAACTGGTGGGCTTAATGCGACTTAAAACGCTGCCAAGTAGTCAAGCTATTCGGGATAATGATTTCTTGGAGTTGTGGCAAATGGCTTAACGTTCAATGATATATACCGTGAACGAGTACCAATATTATCTGATTGAGACTTTACATTGCCTGTGGATGATAATGATTTTATTACGATAAGAACAGGAAATTTGAAGATGGAAGAGAGGAGATGCCGTGAACTTCCTGACATGCCTCGATTGCCTAATTTTGCCGGCCTTGTATGGCAGGAGGCAATAATTGAGTATTAGGGGAAAAGGACAAGTTGCTAGAATCAAGCTGAGGTCATTCGAGTCTGGCAGATGATACCATCGCGCAGCAACATGTCATGACGGCTGAATGTAGCAGCTAGATAGATCACATCGAGTTTGACAGCAAAGGTGAAGAAGAAACCGTAGGTATAACAAAGGTGGTTGGTCCTCCTGCTCTGAGCGCAAGCATAACTTCCAGTTCTCCGGTCCTCCGTAGAAAGCTCGCACTTGAACCGCACGGCGCGGAATCACTTCCGTACACTTCCAGACATCCGATTAGTCACTCATAATGATCGGAGTATCAGCATGGATGCATATCCGCCTACTGTGTACACGCGGAACTCTTGAACACAGTAGTCCACCGAAACCAACGGAAGAAATGATTTTCACAGCGTTAGCGTACGCAGGACGTACTGAGTGCGGACTTAGTGATTGGGTTGGAATAGTGCTGTTTCATAGATGATCGGCAGCAAAACTCAACATACTCCGAGACCTTCAGATGTGTCACGTGCCAATTGATGCATACTACATAGGTAGAAGAAATTCATGATGATAACTTGATGAAGCAATGCAGTCGACCACTCTGAGCCTATTAAGTCTCTGTTGCACTATGTACATGCAAGATCAGGGAATACAGAAATTACAGGAGCTGTGTCTATGTCTATTCACGACGGTTGCAGTCTTGTCCATTCCTCGCTCAGCGTGCAGGAAAGGCGGAACTCGGCTACTAACCAACGGTGCTCGGCAGCCTTAGTCGGGAGTTTCCTCATATGGAATAATGGAAACCAAAAGTCATCCAAAGTCGCCCCCAGACTCCGCTCACCTCCATGAATGTTTTCACATCGAGTCAGCACCGAAGTTTCCTTCCGAACCCAACTTACGCTCGGCCTGACTGTCGGGCTTTCGTGCTTCCCCACAATTAGAATGGGGTATATATAAACCTTGGTCCTGTCACTTTGATAATCGTAGTTGGTTTCCTCAAAGATATTACCTCGAGTTTATTATTGAGAGAAAGGATTCTGCTGTGGGCTTATCTACTGCTGGGATAAGTTATTTCACTTAAGCTACCCTGGTCAATACGGGTCAATTGATTCTTATCTTCAATTCTTTGACAAAGAGTTAATTTGTCGTCGCATTCCATTCCGTACTAAATTCACCTCGCGCTCGCCTTCACACCGCAATCATAAGACGATCTCGTCTTGTTGGGGCTCGTATCCCTTTCTGCCATCCAATCCCGAGACCAGCGCCGGGGCCATCCGAGGTTCTAGGGCCAAAAAAAAAAGAGGGCAGGACCTGAGGAAAAGGCCACGATTGCCTCTGATACTCACTCCGCCTACTACTTTAAGTTTCCACCCTCTCCACCCATCTCTTTAACTCAACCTCTCCGGTGTCCGGCCCCGAAATTATGCGGTCCGCTTAGAGGGTGGATTCGGCATCTTTTAGTTCCTTCGATCAGACCACAGCTCCCTTCTTCTCTACTTCTTGTACTGTGTGTTCCGTTCTTCTACCTCTTTCTTCTATTGTCTGTTTTTATTTTCTTCTTCTTCTCTGTTGGAACACGCTGTCAGTATCGGCGTCTTCCAACATTAGAATTGATTTGTGGTGGTTGACACCACCATCGGTGAAGATAAGGGGGTGATTCTTACCCTTCTTTGCCCCATTTTGCCTGCCTCCCTCTCGTTCTCCGTCCCACCTTACTCGGATACTTGTTTGAATCCTCACCCTCCCCCATAGCGAAGCCAGTATGGCGCAACTCGACACTCTCGATCTGGTGGTCCTAGTGGCGCTTTTGGTGGGTAGCGTTGCCTACTTCACCAAGGGCACTTACTGGGCCGTCGCCAAAGATCCTTATGCCTCTTCAGGTCCAGCGATGAATGGTGCCGCCAAGGCAGGAAAGACTAGAGATATTTTGGAGAAAATGGAAGAAACTGGCAAGAACTGCGTTATTTTCTACGGTTCCCAGACTGGAACTGCAGAGGACTACGCCTCGAGATTGGCCAAGGAAGGATCTCAGAGATTCGGTCTCAAAACTATGGTTGCTGATTTGGAAGATTATGACTACGAAAACTTGGACAAATTCCCCGAAGACAAGATCGCCTTCTTTGTTCTGGCGACTTATGGCGAGGGCGAGCCTACGGATAATGCTGTCGAGTTTTATCAGTTCATCACCGGTGAAGATGTTGCTTTTGAAAGTGGCGCGTCCGCGGAAGAGAAGCCGCTGTCCGCTCTCAAGTATGTCACTTTCGGTCTTGGTAACAATACCTATGAGCACTACAACGCCATGGTTCGCAATCTGGACGTCGCTCTGCAAAAACTTGGTGCCCAACGTATCGGTTCTGCTGGTGAAGGTGATGACGGCGCTGGCACAATGGAAGAAGACTTCTTGGCTTGGAAGGAACCTATGTGGACCGAACTCTCTGAGGCCATGGGTCTCCAGGAGCGCGAGGCTGTTTATGAGCCGGTGTTCAGTGTCACAGAAGATGAGTCTAAGAGTGCCGAAGACGAAACGGTTTATCTTGGCGAGCCTACCAAGGGTCATCTCGAAGGCCAACCCAAAGGCCCATTCTCAGCCCACAACCCGTTCGTTGCGCCTATTGTCGAGTCTCGTGAGCTATTCACTGTAAAGGATCGTAACTGCCTGCACATGGAAATTAGCATCGCCGGAAGCAACCTCACCTATCAAACCGGTGATCACATTGCTGTTTGGCCGACAAACGCTGGTGCCGAGGTGGACCGGTTCCTACAGGTTTTTGGACTTGAAGAGAAGCGTCATTCGGTTATTAACATCAAGGGCATTGATGTGACGGCTAAGGTTCCGATCCCGACCCCTACCACCTATGATGCCGCCGTTCGTTACTATATGGAAGTCTGTGCCCCTGTTTCCCGACAGTTTGTCTCGAGTCTGGCTGCTTTTGCTCCCGATGAGGCGACAAAGACAGAAATTCAGCGTTTGGGCAACGATAAGGATTATTTCCACGAGAAGATCACCAACCAATGTTTCAATATTGCCCAGGCTCTTCAAAGCATTACTTCCAACTCTTTCTCTGCCGTCCCGTTCTCTTTGCTCGTTGAAGGCCTCAACAAGCTCCAGCCTCGTTATTATTCTATCTCGTCATCTTCCCTTGTCCAGAAGGACAAGATCAGTATCACTGCCGTTGTGGAATCCGTCCGTTTGCCTGGTGCCTCCCACCTTGTCAAGGGTGTGACGACGAATTACCTCCTTGCGCTCAAGCAGAAGCAAAATGGTGAACCTTCTCCTGACCCTCACGGCTTGACGTACGCTATCACTGGTCCGCGCAACAAGTACGATGGCATTCATGTTCCTGTTCACGTCCGTCACTCGAATTTCAAACTGCCATCCGATCCCTCGAGACCCATTATCATGGTTGGACCTGGTACCGGTGTCGCACCTTTCCGTGGCTTTATCCAAGAACGTGCTGCCTTGGCGGCTAAAGGCGAGAAGGTCGGCACAACCGTCCTGTTCTTTGGGTGCCGTAATCGCAATGAGGATTTCCTGTATCAGGACGAATTCAAGGTATGATTTCCCTCACATCTGCCCTTCCCCCTTCAGATCCCCATGGACCCTTAGTTCTAACAGGTTTTACTACAGGCTTATGAGGAACAACTTGGTGATTCCTTGAAGATCATTACTGCATTTTCTCGCGAGGGCTCTCAAAAGGTTTATGTCCAGCATCGGTTGCGTGAACAAGCTGAGCTGGTCAGCGACCTTCTGAAACAGAAAGCCACATTCTACGTTTGTGGAGATGCCGCCAACATGGCACGTGAGGTCAATCTGGTGCTTGGTCAGATTATTGCCCAACAGCGTGGTCTTCCCGCCGAGAAGGGTGAGGAGATGGTCAAGCATATGCGCAGCAGTGGAAGCTACCAGGAGGATGTCTGGTCATGATTCTTCCATGGCCGTTTCTTTTAAATGAACATGACTTCTTTTCCCTTCTCATGCCTAGATGATCTTTGCATATATACTCCGCCTGTTTTTCCTTTTTATATTTTGTTGTCTTTCGGCGTGATTCATGTATGCCTAGCACTTCTTTTTGGCCTTCATGCGGTGGGCGACATGATTATTTGATCATGGCAAAACACAGCTCGCCAAGGGAGGGATGATAGACTTGACGGTTCGAAAATGTTTCAAGAATTATGTACGGAACTTAACACTACATTTGATCACGTGTGATGTCCGGAACTTGGTAATAAATACATTTGTTTCTTTGGAAATTTTGAACATTACGTGGTGCAAATACAATGATTAGGAAAGCCTAAGTATTTAAAATACACACATGTATAAGTACTTTAAATATGTATTGAATAAAAGTATAGAGATGTGAAAGTTCAAGGCTGTAGGTGGTGTTCGGCCATAGCCCGGAGTTAATGTCTTGGAAGGCACCGCAACATCGTCATTGCGACTTTTACCTCAAGTCCCGAACTGGTCCTACGTACCAGTCCCTCTCTTTTCGGTCCCTTTACTATCAACTCATCCCAGCTTGTAGTCTCGTCGTTAGAGATGTGGATATTTTTCAAAAATTGAATATACGATATTACGATCTGGAGTCAACGTGTAATTCTCCGTACTCTGTTGGATCTGACGGGTGATCGTGCTATCATCTCCCCGCAGTGGTCTCCACTGCAAAAAGCTCATTCCGGATCGTCGATTGCGAGCTCATAGAACATCAGGCTATCGAGATGGCTTATGTCGTGCCAATACATAAGGCGAGCAGCGTGCGTCATGCGATCAAGCTGCAGTTCTTGAACCCAGAGGAGGAATCCTTGGTTGTTGCGTTGGTGACCACAATCCACCGGTCGGCCTCTGGCTGCAAGGCACATGTTACTAATATATCCAATTTGTCATAGGAAGGCCAATCGACTGGAAATTTATACGCTTACCCCCGATGGGTTGAATCTTGCTGCGTCGTGTACTCTATACGCCAAAGTGTCGATGCTGGCTCGGCTTCCTGCCCCCGCCCATTCACCCACCGATCACCTTTTCGTTGGCACAGATCGGTACACCTACTGCACTCTATCATGGGACAGTACGCAAAATCGGATACGAACAGAAAGAAACTATGTCGACATTGCTGACCCGTCGTCGCGAGAATCGCAAACTGGTAACCGATGCTTGATAGACCCGAGTGGTCGGTTCATGACGCTGGAGGTCTACGAGGGCTTGGTGGCTGTGGTGCCGATTGTACAATTGCCTGGCCGGAAAAGGGGAAGGGCTGCAGCTGTTCCTACTGGGCCTGATGCGCCAAAAGTCGGCGAGCTCGGAGAGTTGACGACAGCGAGGATTGACGAGCTCTTTGTACGCTCCTCTGCATTCCTCCATGTGCAGTCTGGATTACCGCGCTTGGCTTTACTTTACGAGGACAATCAGAAGAAGGTTAGATTGATGGTTAGAGAGTTGAATTATACCTCTGCCACGGCGAGCACAAGTGCAGACGCTACATTAACGCATATAGCCGACTTTGCACAAGAGCTAGATCTTGGAGCCTCCCACCTTATACCCGTGCCCGCTCCACTAGGTTAGTCTCCCTGTGCCATGTGATAGAGCATTCCCTCTACTACCGCACTCCCGGACTGACAGTTCTAGGTGGTCTTCTCATCCTTGGCGAAACATCTATTAAATATGTTGATGACGATAACAATGAAATAATCTCTCGGCCCCTAGATGAAGCAACGATATTTGTCGCTTGGGAAGGAGTGGATAGCCAGCGATGGTTGTTGGCCGATGATTATGGAAGGCTATTTTTCTTAATGCTTGTTTTAGACTCGGATAACCAGGTTCAGGGTTGGAAGTTGGATCATCTGGGAAATACATCACGAGCTTCTGCTTTGGTATATCTTGGCGGTGGGATTGTATTTGTAGGATCTCATCAAGGGGATTCTCAAGTACTTCGAATCGGCAATGGCTCTTTTGAAATTATCCAAGCCCTGTCCAATATTGCCCCTATATTGGATTTCACCATAATGGACCTCGGGAACCGCACAAGTGAAAGCCAAACCCATGAATTCTCGTCCGGGCAGGCTCGAATTGTCACAGGCTCAGGCGCTTTCGATGACGGGACCCTCCGAAGTGTGCGCAGTGGTGTTGGAATGGAGGAACTGGGCGTTTTGGGTGACATGGAACACATCACAGATCTATGGGGATTGCAGGTCCACGCTGGAGGGGATACACTGGATACACTCCTTGTTACCTTTATTGATGAAACTCGTGTATTCCACTTCAGTCCCGAGGGTGAGGTAGAAGAATTGGATCATTTCCTTGGACTGAGTCTTTCGGAGAACACACTTCTCGCAGCCAACTTGCCTGGGGGCCGAATATTGCAGGTTACTGAGCAACGGGTGCTTATCGCGGATTTGGAAGGTGGAATGGTCGTGTACCAGTGGGCACCGCCGAATGGGCTGGTCATCACCGCTGCTTCTGCCAACGATGATTCAATGGTGCTTGTTATTGGAGGCGAGCTTATGACCGTCTTGGATATCCGGAATGAGGTGCAGGTAGTGACGGAGAAGAAATTTGGGGCTGATAGCCAAGTGTCTGGTGTTACGGTTCCTGCATCGCCAACTGAAGTTTGTGTTGTTGGATTCCCTCAACTTGCCAAGGTGTCCGTCCTCAAGCTTCAAGACTTGACTGAAGTGCATACTACATCGCTGGGCCCAGCCGGAGAAGCTTTCCCACGATCCGTTCTCGTTGCGGACGTGCTCGCGGATAGTCCTCCTACCCTTTTCATCTCAATGGCAGATGGTAGTGTTATCACTTACTCGTTTAAGATGGATGACTACTCCTTAAGCCAAATGAACAAACTAATTCTTGGGTCTGAGCAGCCAACTTTCAAGAAACTGCCAAGGGGTGACGGACTTTTTAATGTCTTTGCGACATGCGAGAATCCAAGCCTGATATATGGCTCCGAAGGCCGTATTATATACTCTGCAGTAAATTCTGAGGGGGCTTCTCGCGTCTGTCATTTTAACTCGGAGGCCTATCCTGGATCTATTGCAGTGGCTACACCACACGAGCTCAAGATCGCTCTGGTCGATCGGGAGAGGACGACCCAGATCCAAACGCTTCAAATCGGTGCAACCGTACGCAGAGTCGCTTATTCACCTTCGGAAAAGGCGTTCGGCATCGGAACAATAGAGCGTAAACTTGCAGACGGGGCGGAAATTGTCACAAGCCGATTTATGCTCGCTGATGAGGTTCTGTTTAGACAGCTCGATTCATTTGAATTGAGACCGGAGGAGTTAGTGGAAAGCGTTGTTCGCGCAGAATTCCCGGCGGGCAAGGGTGAAAATGGACGTGAAACGATGAAGGATCGGTTCGTCGTTGGAACGGCTTATCTTGACGATGAAGGGGAAGAGTCGATTCGAGGTCGAATACTAATGTTTGAAGTTGACAATGGCCGGAAACTGACAAAGGTTGCCGAATTACCTGTCAAGGGGGCATGTCGTGCTCTGGCTATGTTAGGAGACAAGATTGTAGCTGCACTTGTCAAAACAGTAAGTGATAGTTGACCCGATTGTTGTGAATCCGTGTCTGACGAAGCCTTTCAGATCGTTATTTATAAGGTAGTGAACAACAATTTCGGTGCAATGAAATTGGAAAAGCTTGCCAGTTTCAGAACATCGACCGCGCCGGTGGATGTGACCGTGGTAGGCAATGTGATTGTGGTCTCAGATCTCATGAAGAGTGTATGTCTTGTGGAGTTTAAGGAAGGGGAAAACGGCCTTCCTGATTCATTAACGGAAGTGGCTCGCCACTTCCAGACCGTTTGGGCCACGGGAGTCGCCTGCATCGACAAGGACACTTTCTTAGAGAGCGATGCGGAAGGAAACTTGATCGTTCTCCGTCGGAACCTCGCTGGAGTTGAAGAGGACGATAGGCGCCGGCTAGAAGTAACCGGGGAAATCTCACTAGGCGAAATGGTCAACCGTATCCGGCCAGTTAACATTCAACAATTGGCAAGCGTAACAGTCACCCCGCGAGCCTTCCTAGGCACGGTATGTGATTTCCCTTCACCCTCCCTCTTTGTAATACACCACTAACTGAGATTGCACAACCAGGTGGAGGGCTCTATTTACCTGTTCGCCATAATCAATCCAGAACACCAGGATTTCCTAATGCGTCTACAAGCGACAATGGCGGGCAAGATCGAGTCATTGGGCGAGATGCCATTCAACGAATTCCGGGGATTCCGCAGTATGGTCCGAGAAGCAAAGGAACCATACCGTTTTGTGGATGGCGAGTTGATTGAACAGTTCTTAAACTGTGAGCCTAATGTGCAGGAGGAGATTGTCAATTCAGTGGGCATGATGAATGTCCACGAGGTGAAAGTTATGATAGAAGCATTGAGGCGACTGCACTAGAATTGTCCATTATTAAAGAGTATCATCCGCCTATGTCTAGACGGGTTAGGGCTTGATTGTGTGGATGTATTTAGGATGGAACGGATTAATTATTGCTCAATAACAATGAGATTGATGTGCAATATAGTGTGGTTTTTGGACAAGCCTGATAAAAAACGCCGATCAGGTATAAAATTTCTATAGACTCACTCTACCCTGTATATTTCAGTGATATATGGTGGCGATTGTACTTCACCAAACAAGGCAAACTCTCAGAAGAGTGCAAGAAGGTCCTCAAATGGATGTCAATGTCAACGTCCGAAAAAGCATATCAGAAGGAAGATTAATTATATATTTGTATAAAGTCGGATAAGTCTACTAGTAATTCATATACCCACACTGAACTGAAAGAAGCCAATTTCCACGCCCGTAAATCATGCATCCTTCTTCTCATTTTCCGAATCACTCCAGTCCAACAACTCCATAATCTGGTCCTGGGACAACTTATTCGCATTCGCCTCTGCCTCCTTCAGACTCTTCATGTACTTCTTCTGCCTCTTCTTCGCATTCTTTGACCACTCCGGCACTCCGCTGGCCGTTGCAAAGTCCTCTCCCTCCTCAATTTCATCGTCGGTGTTCTCGACCTCTCCAAGCACCTTTCCGCCTCCGGTGGCACCACCTCGCAGTGTATTGGCCGAAACCTTAGCCTTCTTGCCTCCTTGTGCCTCCCTCTTAGCCTTTTCCTTCTCCTGCATCTTTTTGCGATCGCGTTCACTCATTTTCTTAAACCAGGCTTCGATATATGGACGAAGTAAAACGTAACCGATCACCGAGAGTGTGACCTTGGTCCAACGGTTGAAGCCCACGTCCGCGAAAGAGTTATAGAGGTTCCTGAAGAAGCGGACGATGATCGTTTCGAAGAAGGTATATATTTGGCCGAAGAAGTCCTTCAAGGCCTCTGTGGCGACGGAAACGTCGGGAGAAGACATTTTTAATTCGGTTGCAGGTTTTATTATTCTCGGTAGTTGGTGTTGAGAAAGGATTACTATAGAAAGAGGTGCGGGATTTCGCGGAGATCGTAAAGAGAGAGATTGAGAGGTTATGGCTCAGTTTGCGAGCTCAAAGTGAGTTGGTTTAGAGACAGGCGCTCAAATGAGGGCTTGCGAACCCCTTTTCTGGCGAGAGTATGAGGGATTTGAAAGTGGATTGCCCGCTGGATGCCGCAAGCTCTTTTCTTTTAGTCTCCATTCGATGCGAAGAATTCCGTAATGGGAAGTGTTCCATTCTGGTCTAGTGGCTACTGTCTTTCGGGGGATCTTTTGTCCGCCCGTTTTAGCCGTAGCCAATCACAGGCGACGTCAGCTGTTCTCCATCCATGGACGCGTCTGTTCACCGTGGCGCGCGATCAAGTATAGATCGTAACTACATCGTTTCCATCAGTATCGATAAAAGCTATCTTCTCGGGTATCAACTCTGGGGGGTTGAATTATCGGTCACTCCCGGCTGTCTGCTGAACATGGATCCAAATGAAGAAGTTGGCCTGGAAGAGGTACGTGGTGATATGGATCATTTAGTCCGAAGCAGATCTTACAATTTCTCGTCATAGCGCCTGAAATCCGCTCTTTGGCTAGCTATTGGCAAGATAGTTGATGACGAAACCATCAAACTTGGTGTGAATGCCACACCGCAATTCATCGGGGCCTTGACGGAGATGGTTTGGGCCCAAATAGGTATGTCCACTTTCGCAGAGCGAACAGCCATGGAGCTTTTCGTCACAGTTAGTTCATGGTGGCGTGTAAACTGATCAGCTTCGATGAACAGAGACAGTCAGCCAGGATTTAGAATCCTTTGCTAAGTAAGTGACTGATTTGCGACTCAAAGTATCTTATGGATGGGTGCTCTGCCTTGCTGTTATTATTCTTTCGCCGCTTTTCTTACCGTACTTCTGTGCGACCTTGGCAGAGGATCCTTTGGTATGATTCGATATGGCGGGTTGCTGACTGATTCGGAACTTCCTTATTAGGCATGCCGGACGCTCGACAGTTAATGTTTCCGATGTAATGCTTTTGGCGCGGCGCAACGAAGGGCTGGAATCCATCCTGCGCGCTTTTGTTGACCAGCAGCGCGAGGAAGAAACTTGAAACATCGAAATTCTATAGTATGAACATTTGCGTCTTATGAGTGGCCGGGTCCTTTTGTTCAGTGCCCTACGGGGTAATGTAACCCCAGACTTATTGGCGGCTTCCTTCTCCGGACTTGCCTTAGTGCCCCCCGTAAGTGTAACCTAATTGTACTTTACTTCAATGACATGCAGGCTAACTGTTTCGACAGGAGCAGCTACATGATCCCGCCAGTGGGACTCAATAGCCAAAATAGCTGGAGAATGAGATGACGCCACTGACTGCTTCCCCGCGTTAGGGATGGCTATTTTCAGCTCACGTGTTGATATCAACATATTATTGCCTTCAAGGCCGATGGATCTATTACAGGGTCGTGCTCACCTATCCATCTCATCTGGAGGTTTCTGGACGAATCATGTGTCGGGGCTTTCATCCCAGGAGAACGTCTTTAACATCATAGATGGTGTAATGATTATCAGATGAACAGTCACAGAGCCCTGACCAATCAGATCTCAGGGTTGTTTGCTTTATGGATATCTAATGCTTGTGGACCACGTCATGATAGCGTCTCCTGCTACATCAATTCGCCTCGATAGCATACTACATATATATATGAAGGGAGGAATCTCTTTTGGGAGCCTTCTCGCAATACACAGCGATAGTACAACTATACGATATTTCAAATGAATCTAAATTTATACCAGCTTCTCGCATTTGTGGGATAATTTTTAAGCTTAAAAAAAATGCTGAACACAACTCTTGACACGGGTACTGTCCGAGCGACACTGAAGACTACGCGCCTAATGGAAGCGGTCCGCTTCCATGGACCCCGCGACATCCGGGTTGAAACAATTGATGAGCCTATTTGTGGCAAAGGGGAAGTAAAGGTACTTTGCGCTATACCTACGGCATGAACAAGAATATATTGATTCAAAGTGAAAATAGTAGATCCGACCAGCTTTCGTTGGGCTCTGTGGCAGTGGTAAGCTTTAGTTACCTCTATATTGCATTTATCCAAAAATAAACTGATTTTGAGCAAGACATACATGAATATACCGGTGGTCCCGTGCTGATACCTCAAGAACCCCATAATATAACCGGACGGTCATGTCCAGTGACACTTGGTCATGAAATCAGCGGCATCGTCGAGGAGGTAGGGGAGGGAGTAGCGCACGTGTCTCCGGGACAGCGGGTCGTCGTACGTCCGACCATCTTCGACCGACAATGCCCAGCTTGCAAACGTGGCTATGAGTACTGCTGCGAGAACATAGGCTTCATTGGACTTTCTGGTATGCGGTCACTGTCAAAACAATACATAATTGGCGATGATACTGACGCATCCTGCAGGGTACGGTGGCGGGTTGGCAAAGTACCATGTTGCGCCGGCAGAACATTTCTATCCGATCCCTGACAACGTATCTCTTGAAGCGGCGGCCTTGATCGAGCCACTGGCTGTCGCCTGGCACGCTGTCAATCTATCACCCTTCAAGATAGGCGATAATGTCATGGTGGTAGGGGGCGGGCCAGTTGGAATCGGCATTGTACAGGTGTTAAAGTTGCAAGGCGCTAAGAATATCATGTTATCAGAGCTCTATGACAAGCGCAGAAGGTTTGCGATTGAATACGGTGCTACACACGCCTTTGATCCAGGACAGGAGGATGTGACCCAGAGGGTCATGGAAGTGACGGACAGTGTGGGTGCCGATGTCATCTTTGATGCTGCTGGTGTGGAAAAAGCATTGAACGGCGCCATTAGTGCGTGTCGCACGCATGGTGCAATCATTAATGTTGCTGTATGGGAGAAGAAACCCGCAATTTCCGTGAACGACTTAATGTACAACGAAGTCAAGTATACTGGGTCAGCATTGTACGACGAAGGATCCTTCGCAGCCGTTATCAAGGCTCTTGGATATGGTAAGCTGTTCGAGAGAGACTTCTTGACTTTAGTCCACCACATTTTCTGACTGCATTCCGTCTTGCAGGCCAATTGCAACCAGAAAAGATGATTACGTCGAAAATAAAGTTGAATGAGACGGTGGAAAAGGGATTCGAGACCCTGGTCAACGACCGCGAGGACCACTGCAAGATCTTAATCGACGTGCAGGCATGATGGTATGGTTCGCCTGGCATAGGTTGGTTAATCTCTAGTGCTATTGCTCGTTCAGGTATATGGATAGAGTTGAGATGGGGTCTCGTTTCCAGATATTGGCATCGCTTGGCTTTCATCTGCCGAGTCCAGCCTCAACCGCTGCCACGATTACCACAGTGGCACGGTCCGACCTTACTTTAAGCTTGTGCTAAACATAGAAACCATTCGGTGTTAGTCGTGACGTTATGAACTTTGGTAGAGCAGGAGAAGTGTGGCTGTGTATATGTTGCTCTGTGGCGGTATACAACTGGCGGCCAATGAGTAACTGTGGCTAGTAATAGTCACTAAGTGTTGCGGCCGTGGACCCGGCCGCAATGGGTGATTCCCTAATGCGGTCACTAATTCGGACACGAGACCTGGTGACAGACATGTGATTTAGGGTCCAGGGTCCAGTGCCGGTGCCGAATCAGGGGATGTCTGGGCAGGGCTTAGTCACAGTAGCAGGAAACCAATGAGAACGAGCCCTGTCTGGATGATGACGTTTGGGGGCTGGGCTGTGGGTGTGGCTTGTGACGGGGATTATCAGCTTTGTCCCCGCCTCTGCTCTTTCTTCCCAATCAAATGTGTCGTGAGCTCCGTCCTTGTCCGTGGATCGACATCTTGATGGTGTGGACGGGTCCTCTTGTGAAAGCGATTGAAGGATTCCTCGAGTTCCACAAGACTTGAAGGCATCCAAGGAAATGCCTCCACTGATCTGCTTGCTGCGACACCATGACCCCTGGGACCCAACCTTTTCATTCAACAATGCTGCCTGGACTGTGTACAAGTGCAAACTTTTTCCACTCTTCAGCCTTATAATACATCTTTGTTGTCAAGCTCCTGTTGAAATTTAACCCTTAGTTTCACCTAACGGCTCTCTAGCCCCTTCAGACTTCGTACTATAGCTCTCGGGCCTCGTTCCTAGTGCCACTTTCAAATATATTCTTTACTCTTTCGAGAAGACTGCTTTACAGCCACCCACTTCCAGGATGGGGTTTGGCGGCGTTGTTCTCCGCTTCTTCAACCTAGCTATTCGTGTCCTTCAATTTCTTGACGGCGCGGTAATTCTAGGAATTTTCTCCTACTTTTTAGCTGTCCTCAGCCGCCATGACCAGAACATCCCTCAGTGGATGAAAGCTACTGAGGGTCTGTCGGGTGCGGCGACCCTTTACGGACTATTAGGCATCCTCTTCAGCTGCTGTTTGGGAGGAGTCGCATTTTTCGCCGCTGTGGCCGTTGTTCTCGATGTCTGCTTTGTCGGAGCCATGATCGCTATTGCGATCATGACTCGCAATGGCACACAGCAATGCAGCGGCCGAGTCGATACTCCTTTAGGATCAGGGGAAAGCAACGCAGAATCGCCATCTAAAGTGAAATACGAGTTTGCCTGTCAACTCCAAAAAGTCACATTCGCCGTTGCGATCATCGGAATGTGAGTAATATTCCATCCTGCACCCCTTGAGCTGCGCCAGGCAAGGTGTCAATCAGGAGTCATGCGCTGACATTCCCCACCAGCTTTTTCTTCTTGGTTTCCATTCTCTTCCAAGTCCTCTATGCCCGTCACCACAAGCGTGAGAAGCGCTTCGGACCTTCCCCGGCCAACGATTACACGTATGGTACTCGTCCTCGTGCTTTCTGGCGTCGCAAGAAGAACAACCCGGATACCGCCAGCGCCGACGATATGCTCCCAACCCATCCTACTCCTCAGGATGTTGAATTAGGACCTACCCAGGAGAAGCCCAGTGGTTTTGGTAGCTTCTTCTCTCGAAACAAAGATACCACTCAGACCACCCCGAATGTGCCACAGAACGGCTATGGCTACGGAAACTCCGCCTATACGGGCAACTACTAAGACAACTACATTCCATACCACTTTCGAAATGTGAATGCCATGGAATTGTTCGAGAGAACACAAACATGGTGTGCAAAACAAAACAAAAACAAATAAATAAAATGAGATACACTATAACTGAAACCAACAAACTTTGGAGTTGTTGCAACTAATCGCGCGGGTCTATATCCGCTCGGGAGAAACTGGGCAATGGCTTTATCATCTAATTGGGCTAGGAAGGTAATAACGTCTATGAATAATGATTGCAAATAAGATACCATGGTCTTTTTGGATTTATGTGGGGTGATACTTTCCAGTACAGTACTGCATTGGACGATATGGGCTTGGCTCAGTGTTTAATGAAATCAAATTATTACCTAATTTATGAGTACCAACTCGGCTTCAGTACAAATTCCGTTGAGAGCATCATAAAAATAATACAAAACAATTGTAGTTGTAACATTGAAGGCTATGCTTGTTGTCTTTCCTCCGCACATTCCTCGGTTTTCGTATTTGTGCCGCTTTCAGGATGGCAACTCCCGGGATTATGCCATCCGTTCGATAGAAGCTCTAGGATGCACCGAGGTTCTTTATATGAGCGTGCGAGTATACCGAGACTGGAATCTAATCTAGGATTGATTTAATCATGTCGTATACTGTAATCGAACGTTGATCCATTACGTGCGAGTTCCTCAAAGGGTACAAGGACACGCAATATTGGCTCTTCCGAAATATATATATTCTTTTCGCTCCCCCATCGAACTTTACCAACTGGCGCTCCATAAACTACGATACAATTGAGCAATTTTAATCTGAAAACATTTCATACCCAAACCAAGCTAAGGTCTGTGATCACAGTTGACTAGTCTGCATCCTCAAACGCTCCAAGTAATGAAAAGGGCAAAGTTACGTGATCGCACAGATCGGGCAATTCTCCATTGATGCCGAGGTTTCTCGCCCAGTTATGTAGGGACTTCAATCAGCACTGCAATTTTAGTGAGAGTCAAGCGTTGCTGAACAGGCAACCATCAGACGGTACACGAGGCGGCGAGCTACTGCAAGTAAACATGCCACTGTTATGATAAATCTATACTAGTGGTCAGAATCGATGATTGCACCCTGGATGGTTATATTATTGCTTCGAGGTTAGACTGGTACTAATATAGATTTGAAAAGTGAAAGAGAACTTATCCGATCATTATATCTGGGGAAGGGATTTTGTGTCGGTGAAGGGTTTATGGAATACCATGACGGAAGCCTCGGTGTTGGATCATATGAAGCAAAGCTGATTGGTGGATGGGAGGCCTCTGCAGGTACTAAGTTGTACGAGGAGGTGTAAAAGAGGATGGATTATATCATCTGGGGTGGGAATGGTGAGTGTAATTGAAGCGAAGGAGGGTCTGGGCATGCAGGGTAAGTATAAACTGGAGTTATGTCCCATGTTGTGTAGCTTTGGATCTCCATAGTGTAAGCAACAATTGCCGGTTTTCAATGAAATTTGAATTTCTCATTGCTTCTCTTGCGCGGTATGTAGATATATAACTACCCCTCGGGGGTTGTGAACATTATGAATAGGTTTACCAAGTAAGCTAATCATTCAAGCACACTGGCAATTATATATTAAGAATATGAAATGTTTACCACTACCCCAGTGAAGCCACGCATGATAAACTAATTGCAGAAATTAAGAAAGTGAATTCAATACTGAGTACATCACGAGAAAATTACAAAATCACAGGACGTGGGCTAATGAGAATAGAAGACAGAACAGTTGCATAATAAAATAGGCCCTTGGTCCAGACTAAAAATGGAAACAGCGAAGAACTACCTCGACGATGGATATGAAGATGGTGTATACTCGCACCAGGCGAGCTTGATCGAGGAATACGCACTTAGCAGGTGCCAATAGGCGTTCAAGTTCACGTTCACCACACGCGGTGCATGGCGCCGTGGCGGCAGCGCGTCCCAGCGGCAACAGGTCCCATGAAGGCGGGGCGACCGAAGCTGCACATAGACCAGGTTTGGCCGTCCTCGCCGCAGATAATGGTACCATCTTTACAGTCTTCCTGGCTTGGCTCGTGGTGCTTGAGAGGGTGCGACTCGACACGTGCTGGCTGCGAGGGGGATGGCGTGGCAAAAGCGACATGGGCGGAGGATGAAGTGCCAAAGGCGGAAGCGACCCTGCTACTGGGTGTTGCAGACGGAGAAGCAGAGCCGAAAATGTGAGCGGAGCTCTTAGGGCCGTGGGCAGCAGCGTTGGCTGAGTTGGAAGTACCTAGGAAAGAAGCGGAACTCTTGCAAGTGTAGCCCTTGCCGGAAAGACTTCCCTCTGTCGAGGGTCCCGGTAGTGGGAAGTTCACTTCCTCACCCTCGATGGTGGTGCATTGGCCAGGGCCAGCATTGTTGGCCTGGAAGATCTCTGGGAGACTGTCGAAGCTGTCACGACGCGAGATTGCACGTTTCGCGGAACCACCAATTGTGACCTGTGCACAGTTCATGTACATCTCGCGGTTACCGACCTTGTTGAACCATGTCCAGGACAACAAGGCCTCTCCATTTGGTGCATCAGTGGGAACTGTGAACTTGTATTTCTTTGCAATTGGACACCCTCCCAGCATGGAGTGAATCACACGGAAAGTCTTTCCTTTATCGTATGAGAGACCGATCTGACAGGAGCCGCCACCGTGTGTCGCGCTACCTTCCAATTCAATCTCGTACTCCTGGCCTGGACTGTATGTGGCGACAGAGGTGAATGGGTCATTGGCGTATCCTTTGCACGGGTAATCCGAACCACTGGTAGAAAGCGGATTTGTGTACGAATAATCCTTCTCGCCAGTTGCGTCCTTGTTCAACGGGCTTCGGATGGGATATGGTTTTGACAGCTGCATGTGTGCAGAGACAGATGTAGCCAGGAGGCCGCACACAAAAGCAAGGCCCTTCATTGTGGATGTTCTGGTACTAAAATGGTCTATGCCTGAGCTATATGCAACCGCTTGCCCAACCGTGAACACTGCAGGTAACTTGTTAGATTTGATTTTGAACCAAGACTGCTTGCACGTACCCAGTCAAGAGACAACAGCACTTATAAGCCGAACCGGAGAGTCTAGAAAGATGAAGATGTATCTCCCCGGATGGCGATGACTGGCACTCCTTATAGTGGACAAGATGTTTTCTTTCTTCTGGTAAGGGGGAGGAATAAACAAAAATCCACAAAAACCCTCAGCCTGGCTCAAAGGAGAGAAGCTCAGGAACGCGCAAGCAGTATGATCCAACCAGATGTTCAACATATTCAAGATCTGGAGCTCTGGCATGTTCCTGTCCCTCTGCCCTTGGCTCTAAGTGGCTAACGTAGGTATGCTCAGCGCCGCCTGGAATGTTGTTGTCCCACGAAAATGCCAAAACAAGGGCAGGCCATTCTTCGGGACACTTTTAGTTTTTGACGCACCGAAACCTGGATGTCTTTGTGCGCCTTCAATCCCGTACGGTACGTAATGGTCTCATGGCGGGCATTGCCGCATATAGATTTGTCGAATTTGTGGGTGTACAGTAGAATACTGACAGCCTCGACTTCCGATCACACATCACTAGTCAAGGAGAGTCACTGTGGCTAGAATCGTATATAACGAGACGCGATGAATATCCATCCCTATTGTAATGTAGAGAATAAGCTGTTGTGAGGGCGGGAGTTTGGTCAGCGGTAGTGCTTCCCATACGAAACCCGCCGAGGACCTTCCTAAAGCTCCTTAGCGTCCGCTCCACCGCGTCTCTTCTCTCCGCTTGAAGCTCTTCCCGCTCCCTACATTCTACCATCCGCCATACCCTCGCTATTCAATCCTGCCTGCTTTCTGGAGGATCATGGTCCCAACGCCGCGCCAGAGACCTCTCACTTTACTGTCTTTTCCCATATAATACATAGCGCGTTGCTGGATGTTTTTGCGGCCTCTCTACCACCAGCAGAGGACTTTTGGCCGTGCGCTTTCCTGTCATCATGCCGCGCGTTTCCATGACGTCGAGGAATTTGGTGCGCGCTCCCGCCGCGTTCGCCACTCTCCCGCTTGGTGGATAACTTACCCGGCTCCTGTGGCAAGCTCAATCTCCTTTCTTGCTCCCCTCCATACCTCCTGTCGCTCTCATTACGAATCTCGCGTTCACCACCTGTTGCATTCTTTCCCTCGGAGATCACTGAAGCTTGCAACGACACCACTCACTCCGCCCTTGCATTCCCGGCGCCTAGTAGGAGGTCCGCGTGGCATGGTGGGGGTATCACAGGTCGCGAACATGCCTGTAGACGTGAAACTTGAGAGTGGGGACAGCGTGAACTCGCCGAGTGAGGAAAATGCTGTCCAAGCCCAGGCGCGTCCATCAGAATTACCGGAAGACGTCCCCCCAGATCCCGAATCGGATGAGGATGTGCCTGTTCAGGCCGAGGAGCTCCAGGAGGCTCTATCGAGGCCCCCTCCTGTTAACAGTAGTTATCTGCCTCTCCCCTGGAAGGGCAGATTGGGATATGTGAGTGATAACCACTAATCAACTTTGCATTTTTTTTTGTCTCCCTCCCGTATGACTTTATTTCTTACGGTTAGTAGGCATGCCTAAATACATATTTACGATACTCAAACCCTCCTGTCTTCTGCTCCCGCACTTGTCGCATCGCCTCTATTTTAGAAAATCGCCACCCGCTTTTAGACCCCTCTCAGCCTGCCCATCCGACGAAGAACCGCCCGGACCGGAGCCAGACACCTGATATCGCACGGGGCCAAGCATTCGTTGAAGCACTGGGACTCGCCAATGCCCGGGATCTTGTAAAGATCCTGCGCTGGAATGACCGCTATGGAATCAAGTTCATGCGACTGAGTAGTGAGATGTTTCCATTTGCCAGCCACAAGGAGTATGGATACAGATTAGCTCCTTTTGCGTCCGAAGTTCTCGCAGAAGCCGGACGGGTTATTGCCGAGCTTGGTCATAGGGTGAGCGTGCATCCCGGCCAATTCACTCAGCTAGGGTCTCCTAGAAACGAGGTCGTGGAGAGTTCGATACGAGATCTCGAGTATCACTCTGAAATGCTGCAGCTGCTTCAGCTGCCTCCCCAACAAGATAGGGATGCGGTCATGATTCTCCACATGGGTGGTGTGTTTGGTGATAAAGAAGCCACTTTGAACCGGTTCCGGGAAAATTACCAACCCCTCTCGCAAGATATCAAGAATCGACTCGTTTTAGAAAATGATGATGTTAGCTGGTCGGTACATGATCTGTTGCCTATATGCGAAGAGTTGAATATACCGCTCGTGCTAGACTTCCACCACCACAACATCATTTTCGACTCGAGCCAAGTGCGTGAAGGGACTGAGGACATTATAGGGCTCTTTGATAGAATTAAGGCTACTTGGACTAGGAAGGGAATCACCCAGAAGATGCACTATTCGGAACCGACACCTTCTGCCATCACGAATCGTCAGCGGCGGAAGCATAGCGATCGCGTGTCCACCTTGCCCCCATGCGACCCCACGATGGATTTGATGATTGAGGCAAAAGATAAAGAACAGGCTGTGTTTGAACTGATGAGAACCTTCAAGCTTCCCGGTCACGATTTGTTCAATGACATGATTCCACATGTTCGAACTGACGAGAACAAACCGTTCAAGCCGCCGCGAAAGTCTACCAAAAAGAACGGGGGGTTTGTTGACCTCGAGGGACATGTTCCTCCTGCACCAACTATTCCTGAGGAAGTGGTTGGCATGGGAGGTCCGGAGAGAAGGGTTTATTGGCCTCCTACAATGGAGGAATGGCTTCGGCCTAAAAAACTCAGTCGTACTAAAACCGTCCAGAGCCCCCGACGATCTCGGCAGACGAAGAAGGTCGATGGTGGCGTAGAGGGATCGTTGGAGCAAGATGGTGAAGTGGCCAGTACTGTCTTGACTACACCTGCCTCGACGCCCGCGTCCAAACCCTCTCAGCGTACCCCTAGCGCAAAGAAGGTAGCTAGTAGAAAACGCAAAGCTTCTACGCCAGCTAGCACGTCGACTTCTGCTTCAGATAATGATGCTTTGCCGGATCCTCCCAAGCTCACGCGAACTAGGAGCACTGGGGTCCGTCGAAGCCGTCGAGTGAAGCCAGTCAGTTACGCTGAAGACGGCGAATCTCTGTGATCATACTTTGTTCAAACCGTACTGCCTTCTGACGCTATTTGGTTATGGATCAATACTATACTTGGGATCCCTTGGATGGCCAAGACATTGAAGTCAAAAGCGCTCCGACTCTAGCGCTATGTATGCTTTTTTCTCTATAGCGCGCACACGAATATAGATCTTATATAGTAATTTAATCTTGGAGTACACAATAACATCGATTGCACATAATATCTAGCAGCCCAACAACCTTTGACTAAGGCAAGGTACGATGCAATTATGGCATTGGAACGGTCTCCACATCCTTTCCGCCGGCTTTTGAAACTCAAGGTTAATCGAATGTTTCCACCCCTTTTTGGTCCTCATAGCCTCTTTGCTTGCCATCCGTGTTGACAAAGGGTTACATATTTATTGTTATATCTCGCTCACTGTCGGTTGACGACTCGGTCACTAGTAAGGTGGTACCCTGACATCACTACGCTAAAACGCCTTGTGGGCCGAGATGACTTCAACTCCTTGCCCGGACGGCACATAAGTTCAACCTTACGCGACCCCCTTCGACTGAACGCCGACTGGAAACCCTGCAGCTCTCCTGAGGTATTTACATATCTCTATCGCATTACCTTCGCTCAGGACCGTGGCGCCGAAAATATTTCCTCGCAGTCGCTGGCGCGCTCCGCCGAGCTTCCCCGCTAGGCGCCAACTGCCCTCACGATCTTTGCCCCTCCCTCGTTTCACCGCTCGGGACCGTGGAGCTAGACAGGGAAAGCTCTTTCGATTCCTTCGTGCGCTCTTCGGGCCTACCACGAGCCGTCGTGCCCAAGCTCGTCTCTGGGGTTTCCGCCACGAGACAATCCCTGCCCTTCGCCATAGAGCCCAGGCAGGCCTATACCGTGTGATTCTTCGACGGCAAGCCAGGCTTCTCCAGAAACGACAGAGTGGTAGACGGGGGGTGTTAGATTTTCTTGTGGGGAGAAGACGGCGGTTGAGAAGATTGGACACTGGTGGCGGGAAGTCGGCGAGTGCGACAGAAGGAGTGCCAATGTCACAGTTCTTATCGTCGACATCCTCATGGGGCTCAGGGGGCGGTGCTAGTGGCGGACGTCGCCAGAAGGTCTACCAGTACCTGAGGGCGGCGAATGAACTACGTCAGACGTACGCCGCACAATGGTCGGCGCAGATAAACCCATCTCGTGGATACGATGAAGAGTATTTGAAGAACACGCCGGGGGCATTTCCAGATATTGAAATTGCACGGTCCGAAGATGAGGAAATGGTGATTTTCCCGAGTTACGCAAGGCGACTTGTCAAAGACCACAACAGACAGCGTCGGGGATCGACTTCGACGCTCGATGAATACCGCGGTGTGGCCGAGGAGACGGAGCTGGAGAGACTTGAAAGAGAGATATTGGAGGATGAAAATGCGATCGTCGCGGTTGATGTGCGAGGCTGGGTGTACTCACCTCATCGCGGGCCGATGAATCGAAAGCAGCGCTTGTTGATTGCACTTGCGAGGAAACTAAGCGGTGTACCGGCGCCGAGTAATTATTCGACTGATACTGAAGGCCCCGATTCCGACACCGCTTCTATAGGAAAGGCATCGGGTAAAAGGGATGATGAGCTTGTGGATGCGGAGGCGCAATCGATCATCAGAAATGCAGAAGGAAGGGCGGATGCTGCTTGGAAATCTAGTGCCTCGGAACGAGATGGCGAAGCTATCCCTGGACGACCTCTACATAGAACGACTACATCATTGACGCTCGAACCTTCTCAAATGAGCATGGATGAGCTGTCTGTGGCAAATGCTCACCTTATGGAGAGACTCCGCCCTTTCTTGTCGAATCCCATGAACCAGCAGCCTGTCACTGTGTTCTTTTTCAATGATGGGAAGAGCCAGTCGAGAAGCGTATTGACTGACGAGTCAGGCCACTTTACTTTACGTGCAGCGCTGCCGTTTATCCCGACTCATATCCGTGTCCTAGCCTCGGAGGAACTCTCTGCTATGAAACAGGTCGAGGTCATCGAACCGAGCGGTGTCAGCCTCATCAGTGATATAGACGACACAGTGAAACATTCAGCTATCGCAAGTGGAGCCAAAGAAATATTTCGGAATACTTTTATTCGTGAACTGGCCGATCTAACTGTCGACGGAGTCTCGGAGTGGTATACTAGTTTAGTTAAAATGGGGGTTCAGATACACTACGTCTCCAATTCACCATGGCAGCTTTATCCGTTGTTAGAGCGCTACTTTAAACTGGCAGGATTGCCTCCTGGTTCCTTTCACCTTAAACAATACAGCGGCATGCTTCAAGGGATATTCGAACCCACTGCAGAACGAAAGAAGGGCTCCCTTGAACAACTACTTCGGGACTTCCCGACACGCAGATTCATTCTAGTCGGTGACAGCGGCGAGGCAGACCTCGAAGTTTACACCGACGTTGCCCTGGCCAACCCTGGAAGGATCCTGGGCATCTTTATCCGCGACGTCACCACATCAGATCAAAAGCAGTTCTTTGAGAAGTCCATCGACCACCTGGAGCCTCATCCATCTCGCACTCGCAGCACTCCCCAGCTGATCGATACCAGCGATACGGCAACTAATCGGCCTGCATTACCTCCTCGCCGCCCTCGAGCACCAGATCATCGATCTGCTGATGCCATAAGCCTAGATAATGCTGATCTGATCGACCTCCGCGACGATGACGATCTGAAAGATACCCAGCTGACACGTCCAAGCCACCGAACGGACGCCTACCACCAGCGAAACCATCCAAGCCATCATCCCTACGTACCGTTTCCGCCATGTCAGACCAGCCAGGAAAGGGCAGTTCATCCCAGATGCAAGAGGCCATCAAACGGAAGCCAATCCCGCCCGTACCGCCGCGTCGTCCTTCAGAAGCCCCAACTCCACCAAACCCACTACCAATCCGCTCCAAAACATTCAACGAAACAGATCCAATCGAACCCCAAGAACTCGCGCGGTCCAAACAACCCCCTCCGCCACCCCCACCCCGCCGAAGCAACACGGGAGCAACATCCTCAACAACAACCTCGAACTCAAGCTCAAGCCGCCAACCATCCCAAAAACAACCACAATCATACCCCGCAGCCGCTCTACAGTACGCCTCAGAGTATCTCCCATCTCCTTCCAACCTCCTCCGATCTACAGCCACCAACCCCTCACCGGCCAGATCAAGTACAAACAGTCTAGACAGCGACCAACAATCAGTTGCTGGATCTGCGCCTCCCGCGCCATTACCCAACAAGCGCGAAGAGCTCTGGCGGAGACGCTGGGAAAGAGCCCACGAGATCCTAACTGACAAGGGCGTGGTGCTGGGTAGCTGGCGAGTCGGCACAGATATCCAAGATGTCACGGTGTGGTTGGTGCAGGAGGCGATGAAAGATGTTCTCGCTCGGATACGAAAGGAAACTAAACTTACGGATAGAATTGAATAAAGGATGACGACTTATATGTATATAGCCGTATTTGTGGATATCCCTTGGCCTCACGATATTTGTATGTATGTATATCCACTTTTTATGACGGCATTGTAGCCACATACCGTGCATAGAATCTGCATGTGCTGGAATGAATATATGAACAGCGAACTAATATACACCTACTTTATTTATTTGTATTGAAAAGGATCCAAATTTTTGAACGAAAAATAGATTGAAATAATTGAATATATACAAACGATCGACAAACATGAAATGAACAGAAATCAAAATCTAGCAATGCACATATAGCCAAAAATATGCAAACGTATCCAGGACGAGGAATCCTGCCTCATATCAATACTTTTTTTTTTTTCTTTTTTTTTTTAGTTGTCTTGGTTTTGCTTGGTTGTCCTGTATCATTGCAACGACGAAACGATTCCTTCAATCTCAGCCCCGATATCAGACACAAGTTTATTGACTTCCTCCTCAGAAAGACAACCACCTTCGACACGAACACCGAATCCAATGGTATCAGTCTTCGGGTCAGGACCGATATCGATGTATACGTTCTCATCTGGCAGAAGAGAAGTATCTAAGGCAGACACGGAGGTCGCCTCCAGACCAGGCAGAGGCTCATCGGGAATAAAGTCCGTGGGTACACCGATGCGAAGAGGCAAGAAGACCTCGGCCTTGTCGTTGACGTCTGCATCTGGCGAGGCATCATTAGCTGATGGAATGGAACCCTGCATCCAGAGGAGGTTGACCCAGGTATTGAACCATGGCGATCCGGATTGTTGAGCATCAACCCAGCGGAGGACGTCCTGCAGTGAGCTTTGCTCGAACGAGACGCGTTCTGCAAGGGAAGACTGAACCGCGCGGGCTTTGTCCAGGAGGTTGGGCTCCGATTCGTCAGAGATGACGTCGGAGATGGTGAATGGATTGACGTTCAGACAAGGCCCGGAGAGCTTTTCAATGTTGGGGAATGAGGCGGAGCGACCGGTTTGGTATAAACCCATGGTTGGACTTGTTGATCCTGTTGCCCGCGCAAGGGTGCGAGCAACAGCCAGAAGGACCACTGCTTGGAGACTCAGGCCGACGGAGCGGCATGTGTTTTCCTTATGGGATACGTTCTTGACCTTTTCCCAAGCTCCGACGAATAGTTGATCTGGGATTTGGCCGGCTTCCTGCTTAGAGTTGATGACGGTGCGCGTACCTGAGCCGAGGGCTGAGGTCCAGTATGCTTTCTCATCAGCTTCACGGAGAGAACGAACTGAGTAGTCGACAAAGGAAGGGAAGTCAGGGTTTGAGTCCAATGGCTGACCGCGGTAGAGCTTTCCAAGCTCTGAAACGAACAGTGGCATTGTCCATGCATCGTATGCAGCGTGGTTGACTAGGACAAGGATTCCGTCTTTGTCGCTGGCCTTTATGAGGCGTAGTCGTACAGGGGGAACAAAGAGTGAAGAAGGCTCTAAAGCCTCTGCCTTTGACTGTGCCTTTGCAGCCTCTTCTATGGAATCAGAGGACTCAATGACCTTGAAAGTTTCACCGTCACGCACAGCGTGCTTCATGGCGACCTGGACAGCTTCGGAAGAAGAAATAGCTGCGAAGCAAGTCCTTAGCATTGGGTGCCTTTGACGAAGTTGATACCATGCTTCTTCAAGCATTTCGGCATTGACGCGTTCCGTAGTAAAGTATGGCCAGGCCGGTTCGAACAGCTTCCGTCCAGACTTCAACCAGCTCACGAGGTGATAGTACTGACCACCGAGACATGGAAGAATGGTTTCAATAGAATCCTTATTCAAGCCCAGCTGTTTCAAAACTGTGTTCTCAACTTGATCGTAGTCCTTGATAAGGGCACCTTGAGGCTTGACTGCCTGTTCTGTTATAGGCCGGATACGTTGACTGATTCCACGAAGAGTGTTGCCTTGCAGAATATCGGCTACACCCGCCTTCAGCCCCTTCGATCGACAGATAGAAGCAATGCGAATTGCCGACAAGGAGTCCAACCCAATACTGAAGATGCTAGTACTGGCGTTAATGCTGTCGACTGGCACACCAGAAACATCTGCTAGCACAGATTTAACGGTGGCTTCGTGCGGAGGCGCATTGGAGTCTTCTGCCAGGTTTTCTTCAGGAGTTTCCAAGGACAGTCTGAGAGGTAGCTCTCCAAGATGCTCAGGTACGACTGTGACGCACCTGGTTGGGTGCTGGATAATATCTTTGAAGGCTGTTGTGAAATCGTTGATGAAGCTATCGAGAGCCATTTGTGACATATATTGCCCGTTGCAGTTGGCGTTGACTGCAATTCCCTTTTGCCCATGGTCAACTTCCACGTTTAGCTTATACTCGGCTTGAGCAGCATAGTCGTTTGTTTCGTACGGCTTCCAAATCTGTTGCTCCTCAAGTATGCTGCCAGCAAAGTCTGCGCTCTTCTGGAAGACGAAGAGTGTATCGAAGAGCGAAGTTGCCTTCAGCGTATTAGCCTTTCTCAGAGAGTTTTGTACAACTCTCAGAGGCGCGTGCTGATATTCTTGTGCTTCAGTTGTGAGTTGTTGCAGCCGCAATGCCATAGCCCTATTGCTCAGGAATTTTGGCTCAAAGGTCACTCTTTGAGCTACAGTGTTGAACAGAGGGCCAAAAGTACGTTCGGTTCCTGGCACTGACCGGCCTGCAAGAACTTGTCCAAATGCGATGTCACGTTTCCCAATAAGGCGTGCGAGGGCCTTGGCGTATGCTAAGATAGCCACGCTTTGTACAGTGACCTCCATCCTTTTGCAGGCGTCAATAATAACCGGCAGGTCAAGATCAATACGACTGTCTGTGAGGAACATGCGATCCAAAGATTCAGAAGACGGCAGCTGAGGAAGCTCGACAGCTTCATAATCCTGTAGCTTACGGCCCCAAAAGTTGCAGGCCTCATCTTGTCCGTTCAATACATGCCTGACTGTTTCTGAGAACTGTGGTCTCTCTGACGGACGCTCACCGTTGTATGTAATGGCGAGGTCCTCGAAGAAGAATGGCAGGGAAGCACCGTCGTATAGAGAATGGTGCATGACGACGATCAGAAGTCTTCCATCAGGTTGGTTAACTAGAACAGAGCGGATTGGGGGAACCTCAAAGGAGGACTCCTCTCCAAAGGAGAAGAGTGCGTTGACCTCAGAAAGAACGTCACAGTCAGATGGTAAAGTCAGCTCTTGCCATTCAAGAGGGGGCTGTGCATGTACAGCACCGATCCAAGAAGAACCAAGCTCCCCTATCAGATGGAACGAGGTACGCAGGATATCGTTTCTCTTGATTATTTCTTGAACCGCATCCCGTAATCTGTTAGTATCCACAGAGTCGTTGAGGCGGATAGGATGAGGATTAACATAGACCTGCCCGGAAGAGGCTAGTGTTTGTGTGACCATGCCTGCTTGTAGAGGTGTACATTCAAACATGGATTCGACGGAATCATTATCACCTAAGAGACGGACATGCTTCTGGTAAACATCAAGAGGAATATGCGTTGTTCCGTTAACCTGTTCGCCGTTCGTTGTGGGCTGAGGGAGAGAAGATTGCTCAATGTGTCTAGCTAACGCACCTACACAAGAGAAGCGCATGACATCAGACGAGGAAGCATTGAGGCCTGACTCACGCAGCTTGCGTGCGAATTGGATGGCTGTAACAGAGTCAATTCCTAGACTCAAGAAGGAGGCTCCCTTGGTGACATCTGCCAAACTCAAGCCACAGAAAGCAGCAACAAGACCTTGAATCGCAGTTTCTGTATTGGACCATGTGGTCTCATCCCATTTAATAGCAGATGAACGTGGTCCAGAATCTTCCACTCGAGGAAGATTGAAACTATCCAAAGAGACACTTTCGCCTGACGCGACACTTGCGAGTACAGCATCCATCTTTTCGAGGAACTCCTCTCCATTATATAGAGTGCCAAACGATGGGGAAAAGAGGCAGTGTAGATTGACCGTGTCAGTAGCATGGTTTGCCTCGACTTCAACTGCAAGTGGATATTCAGCAGGCATGTGGCTGTCAAGCTCCTTCCACAGACTATGTCTTTCTGGCTCAGTAGCCTGATATAGGAGAAGAGGCAATCAAAGAGAGGAGTTTGGGAGTTTATCCAGCGCTGTATATGTCTCAGGGAAGTATGCTGGTAATCAAGCGACCTGACAGTCGATCTTTGGACAGCCTCGATTACGTCAGTAACAGTGTCCATACCGTCCGTATCAAGACGACTGGGAATTGTAGTGATGCAGGGAAGTAGGACTGAGTCTGCTCCAGGCACAGATAAAGCGCGACCAGAGAGCACAAGTCCGTATGTTACATCTGAGGCGCCTACTGTATCGGCCAACAGAAGTGCAAATATAGCCTGTATCAAGGATGGGACCGTTGTTTGGAGACTCGCTGATCGGCGCTCCAAGGCTGACAATTTGTTACCAAGTTGCTTGTGCGCAGAAGTTGGAAGTTCCATGACACTAGGATCTTCGCGGAAAATTGTCGGGCGGCAACCGGACAGATACTCAGTCCAGTGCTTCTTTGCCTTCTCTAAGTCTTGACCATAAACATGTTCAATGAACGTCAACGGTAAACCTCTCTCTGGAACTGGGTGCTCTGCATAATGAGAAGTAACATCATCCATCAACATTGAGAAAGACTCGCCATCGTAGAGAGCGTGGTGGATGGAGATGAAGAGAGCGAGTGGTTCCTTGGTTTCAGAGCTCTTTGCAAGATGGAATCGCACAGGAGGTGTGCTGGAGATGTTCGAAATGATGTCTTGAGTGACTCCCTCCTGTTGCAATTTGGACCTCTCGATCGATTCTTCAAGGGTGCGATATTCTTTTTCGGTCCAGCGAAGCTGGCTGGAGTCAGGAGAGAAGACTACCTGGACCATTTCCTTGTCCAACGGAGCAAAAGCAGTTCTCAAGATGTCATTGTCATTGACCACTGTTTGCCATGCTGACATCAACTGCGCTACATCGATCTTTCCAAGTTGAAGAATAACATGATTGACATAGAGTTGGTCCCCATCGCTATTGATGGAGCGGGCTACCAAGCCTTCTTGGAGGGGCAGACAAGGACGCACAGAAGCAACTCGAGACAGGTCGACTCCAGCAGGGGAGCTTTTTCTGTACTGAGATTCTATGTCAAGAAGCCTTTGGCGTGTATTCGACAACGAATCTTGTCCATTTAACGGCGAGGCGTTTCTTGGAAGACGGGCAAGTTGTTCAATAACTGGGTTGCTCATGACAAGAGCGACTGTCGCTTGGTATCCAATCTTTCTGAGTTTGATAGAGAGACCTATGGCGCTCAGACTGTCTAGGCCAACCTCAAAGATATTTGTCATTGGACCAATGTTGGAACGGTCTGTAGATATAACGGTACAGACCTCCTCCACAACAGCCTCCTCATCAGCAGTCAGGGGTCGACTGACGGCGCTGCCATCTTTAATGATCGCATTATTTCCCTGGAGAACAGCCGCAAGTGGTAAGTTTGTGAACAGAGCATGCAGTTCCTTGAGGCTCGCTTTCCCAGACATCGGTGCCTTCGGGATATACGTTATGGGTAGGATAAGCTCAGGAACCATATATGCTGGCAGCTTCTTTTTGAGGATATCCTGGAGTTCCTTGCCCAAGGTTGCGAAATCAGACTGGACAAAGGCCACGCTCTCATCCGGCTGGTGGCGACGAGCATCCGACCGTGTGATGAAAGATATAAGCTGCGCTCTGGCCAGACCTGGATGTTTGACAACTGTTGTGACAACAGTAATGGGAACGGCCGAAGATGAGCGCAGCACTTCGGACACCTCTCCGAGCTCCAACCTTTGGCCTCGGATTTTGGTTTGATCGTCACCACGGCCCAGATACTCCACTGAATCGTCTGGCATCAGACGGCCTATATCACCAGTTCGGTACATTCTCTCTCCATTAGGCCCCGTCACAAATCCAGTGGCATCGGGCCTGTTAAGGTATCCTTTTCCAACGAGATCGCCACTAAAGACCAGCTCTCCAGTTTGACCTCGGAGGGCATAGGTATCTGTACCGGGAATCATGACATGACAGGCACAGGCACTCAACGGTGGTCCAATGTTCCGCATGTTTGTCTGCCTCCTAACATGAGCGAAAGTACAGCCAATTGTCACCTCAGTCGGACCATATGCATTTACAAGCGCAATGTGAGAATCGGCCCATGTATCCAATACCTTCTTGGATATTTTCTCGCCGCCGACTGTCATATATTGTAGCTTGGGACAGTCCTCTGGCCGTGTATCTGATTGATCCACCATTGACGGCACGAAGCTTGCATGTGTTATCTCCCATTTTGAAAGTGTTGTTTTGATGTCATTCAAGATCATAGCTCTAGGAGCAGTCGCCGTTGTCATTCCTTGGCGCCACGGGAAGAACATTTCTAGAAGATGAGGATCAAAGGCTCTACTGGCTTGTGCAAGATACCTACCAGTGCCGCCCAGAGTCAGTGTACCAGGAGCGGCTTTGATGCAGAACTCCCCGAATGACTCGATAAACGATGAAAGATTGCCCCGAGTGACCATGACACCTTTCGGTTTGCCAGTTGAACCGGATGTAAAAAGAAGATAGGCGACATCGTCTGGATGAGACTGGTAATCCCGGTCCTCAGTCGGCATTGTTTCCACCAATTCCTGGAAGCCAGAGTCGTCGATGCAAATGACACGACAGGCTTCAGGGACTCGGGAGAATGACTGCGAAAATTGGGTCTCGGTGAAGACAATGGGACAATCAGCATCCTCAGTTAAGAATGTTTTACGTTCATCTGGAAGTCCCTCGTCTATCGGAAGATAACCATTTCCAGACTTGAAGATGCCAACGATTATTGGATATGAAGGAAGGTTTCGCCCACAGCAAACACCGATCATTCTGTTCTTATGCCCTTGGGAGGCAATGTAGGCTGCCACACGGTTCGCCTTAGTGTTGAGCGTCTCGTAGGTCCACGCTTCCTTAACAATTCCTTCAGGAGCTATGTCACTTGCGACCTCAACAGCTGTCCATTCCGGGTGTTCGCGGGCATTCTTCTCCAACCAATAGGTTGGACTGGTATGAACCGAATCACGAACAGACTCGGGAACAGGTCTAGTGGAGATAGACTTCAAGGCTGTTGGAAGATGGTGCACCAGGTCTGCTAATTGTTTGTCGGGGAATGCCAACATAGAAGTGACAAAGCCGTCGACCTGACGGACAAAAAGCGACAGCTGCTCTCGGCTCATCAGGCGGCTATCCGAGGATGCCTCCAAGACAATAGCGCCGTCTGCACGTTGAAAAACATTGAAGGCCATAGGATGCTCCACGTGTAAGCCAATTTGGTCTTCTAGCTCCTGCCAGATTTGGGACTGAGAAGGGCCCTTCGATTCAGTTGCCACATGGAAGTTGAAAACAGCTGGGTATAAAGCCTCGCCTCTTGGCCGGTTTAGCATCCTTCGCACGTCACGAGCGTGAATATGGCGATGCTTCCAAGATTGTACCGAGATCCGATGTTGTTCTGCAAGAAATTCGCGCGCGCTTCCCTGTGGGTGGAAAGGTATGGGGACAACAGAGATCAATGGGCCAATTGCATCCTCTAGATCTGGGTGCAGCACACGGTCGGAGAGAGTTTCTGCAAAAACGGTTGCTGGGATTCCAAGATAGCAAAGTGACACATAGCCCCATGCTGCTCGTATGATAGAAGCAATAGATGACACTCCGAGTTGAGCCGCAGCTGATTGAAGCTCTGAAACCTTCTCCGTCAATGGAATCTCCTCTGAGATGAGATTGAATTCTTGTTCAACTCCGGGATCTACCTTTTTGCCAGTAAGGTCAGGCCACACTGGAGTGTCCAGCTCTGAAAACCTCTCTAACTCGGATTGCCAAAAGTTGCAGGTCTCTGCGCTCTTCACTTCGTTCGGAAGAACAATGGAAAGCGCACTGCTAAGCTGATGTCTCAAGGGAGGCTTGTGCATGTAAGCAGATTGCACATCATCCATGATTAGACCGAGAGAAGGGCCATCGTGGATAGAATGGTGTATCGTAAGAACCATGACCCTTTCATTACCCTTGTCGAAAACAGTGACAGCCCACGGTGGGTAGCTGAAATAATTGCTTTGGTGCTTTGTCATGATTGTCTCAATTCGACGATCACGCAGTGCTACCCATTCATCTTCAGTACAGCTGTGCACTTCCCAATCCAAGGCAGGCAACTTGTAAATGAGCTGCAGGATAGAAAAGTCGAAATTATCATGGCAAGTACTAGCCACCTCAGCCACAGGAATGTATCCAGTCCTTAGTGCTTCCGTCTTTTGGCAAACAGCAAGCCAAGCCTGCTTTAGTCCGTCAAGCGACACAGAGGGGTCAAGTGAGAAGAAATGATTGCTCCAGTACATGTCGTATGTACCCATTGTCTCACTCAGCAAGCTTTCCTGAATTGTGGTAGCACGTACAGTGAAGAAATCTTCTTGTATCTGTTTGGCAGCCAACACATGCCATGTCAGATTAAACTTCTCCAGGTCAAATGTATCTGAGGAGGCCGTAGCAGCTTTGCTAGAAGACGCTAACCTCACCAAATCTTGTACGGTGACACAATTCAGTACTTCGACAACAGACAGTTGGCAGCCAGCTTCTTTGAGCCTAGAGGCCAGGCGAATGGCGCGGATTGAATCTATACCCAGACTTCCAAGTCTACTAACCCTGCTAATGATTGAGGATGAGATGCTGGCCAGCGATGCGATCATATCGATTATATTTGAAGTTATGGTGGCGTCTGCGTCATTTTCTGCCTCTTTGGTAGAATCCGTATTTTCAGGGTTTAGCTGGCCTTCCCAACTGTCGATGTCAATAGCCTCATATGCGGCTTGCAGAGCCCGACGGTCAGTCTTGGCAGATGGTGTTCTTGGAATGTTTTTAACAACCAAGTACACAGACGGGATCATATGATCAGGAAGGACCGAGTGGGCTTTGTCACTGGCAGCACGAGCTATATCAAGTGCCGTACTGTTGAGTATCAACAACTTGTCATTATCGGCAGATGCAGCTTCAGGCGCAGAAAGGAAGGCAACCACCACCTTCGTAGGTCTATCGGAACGACTGAGGATGAGTGTTTCAATATTCTCAACAGAAGGATGGCAGCCATCAAGGGAGAAACTGATTTCGCTAAGCTCAACTCTAATACCACCGAGCTTGACCAGGTCATCGACACGGTTGAGATACTCAAGAGAGCCATCAGCAAGCATGCGCACCAAGTCACCGGTGTAATAGAGTGTCTGTGAGGCTTCCTCGTTCCAAACGTACTTTGCTTTTGTGACGTCCTCTTGATTCAGATAGCCAGGGGAAAGCTGGGGTCCACCCAATGCTAACTCGCCAACTGCATTTTTCATTACCATTCGCTGATTCTTTGTCACGAAAACAGACACAGTATCCATGGGCCAGCCGATATTGGCGCTTTTGATGTTCTTGTGCTCATTTCCGAACTCCCTGATTGTGGAAACAATGGTTACTTCGGCAGGCCCATATGTGTTGAAGGCGCGCATATCAGTGCCCCAATCATCAGCGACTGGCTGGGTCAGCTTCTCACCAATCATAGTAATCACTTCAAGCGTTTCACAGCTCTTCCTAGGAACACCTGCTGAAAATGCCGGAGTGAGGTGCGCATGAGTAGCCTTGGTGATGTTCGCGAGTTTAGAGAAAGAGCCCAACATTATCTCTCTTGTAGCGGAGATGAGAACTCCTCCAAGACTCCAGGTATAGAAGATGTCTTGGATTGACACATCGAAGGTATACTGTGAGAACTGCATGCAGCGAACGACGCCACCTTGTACGTCTGTAGGAATATCCTTGCTAAGAGATTTCATACAAGAGACCGCGGCAGAATGTTTGATGGGAACACCCTTGGGTGCACCTGTTGTGCCACTGGTCCAGATGAGATATGCCATACCATCTGGGCTTGTTCTTTGCTTAGTACTGGGCCTTCCCATGCTGTTTGACTTAGAGGTATTCACGGTGAATCGGCTAACATCGATGATATCAACCCCAGCTGGGATGGACCCTTCGGGTTGATCACCGTCGTTACTAGACACGAGAAGAACTTTGGCGCCAGTCCGCGCAATCAAGTCATGGCGACGCTGGGCAGGAGAAAGGGTGTCAATCGGACACCAGGCACCGCCTGCTTTGAGAATTCCCAAAATAGCCACATACATGGCCGGGCTTTTCTCAATGCATATGGGAACAGGAGTGTTTGTCAGCGGACCGGTAACCTGAAGCAGATTCTCAGCAAGACCATCGGCTATGGAGTTGAGCTCTCCATAGGTCCATGATATATTACATGGGTTGCTGTCGTCATCCAAGTCGCCCTTGAATATCAATGCGATGTCTTCGGGATGTGATTCTGCATGTTCTTCAAATCGAGAATGGATTAGCGCGCCCTCTGACACCTCTGGAGCAATGATTGATGTTGGATTGAAAGTCGACTTCAGTTCGAGTTGGGTCTGGGATGGGGCATCTAAAAAGTTTCCTTCTGGTGTTTCAAGTATGAACGCAACGATATCAACCATTTGTCTCAGCATGACCTCAGCTGATTCAGAGTCAAGCAGAGCATGATTGAAACTGGCACGGAAGGTCAAAGATGAATTGGCTCCAGGCCAGACTTCAATCATCACAGCAAAGTCATTCCCCATTGGCGGGTGGTCTATTGAGCTCCAAAGCCCACTGGTGCTTGATCCAGCACTGAAGTCCTGATATGCCACAAGCGTGTCATATGGTAATCGACCATCTCCTGTGACCAGGGAACCCAAGCGCGGTTGCAGATAAGATAATGTCTTGGCATTGAAAGATGACAGGTAACGGGCGACAGATCTGTTCGTCCGAGTGCCAGTGGCATCCTGTGGGATTAGGTTCAGAGCGAGTCGCACAGGAACAGTGGTAAAGGTTGGGCCAATACATATTTCTGAGTCGGGATCCAACCGCCCAGAAACTACGCTGCCCATCACAACATCTTGGTCTGGGGTCCCAGTGTAGGCCAAGAGGACAGAGCCCCAAGCTGCCTGTAGCACTGAAAGTGGGGTTGCGCCGATGGTTTTAGACTGCTTTTTCAACTGGTCGTAGCTGATGTGTGAGGTGATTTCCACGCAATCGGCCGCTTTCACTGAGGGAGCCCGATAAGGCGTGACGGAAGGAAAAGAAATCGGCGAGTAGTGCTCCAAATGTTCGTTCCAGAATTTAGATGTTGCTGTATGGTCAGCGCCAAAGTGATGTTGTACAATATGCTCCAATAATGTTCGGCTCGCCATAGCTTGATTGCCATAAACCAAAGACACGTCCTGAAGAAGTAGTTGCAATGAGCCACCATCAAAGATTCCATGAAACATGCTCAAGATTATGAGTGTTCTTTGAGGGGATGTGATCAGAGACAACTTCCATGGAGGCGTACTCAAGCTAATAGTTTCCTCTGCGTCTCGTAAAGCCTCGTTTAGCGTTTCCTTCTCTGAATTGCCCTTAGAGACGTTGTAAACATTCCACTTTGGCTTTGGTACTGCATCAGCAGCCAGTATACACTGTGCGAATGGTGCCATGTCGTCGTCGAGCCAGCAGAAGACAGTTCGGAAAGAGTCATAATTCGCAGTAACAACGTCCCACGCGTTCCGTACACGGTCAAGGTCGACTGCAGCCTCAAGGGGAAGGACGGAATGATAAATATACGAGCGCGTTTTGAACGACGTATCAGCTGAGCTGCGCAGAAAGCTGGTCAACATACCAGATTGTGTTGCCGTGGTCGGTAAGACTTTCTGGATCTGATCCGAGGTTAGACCGAGCCTCTCCGCACATACAGGTTGGTTTCTGGTACTGAACGACGCAAGCTGTTGGCTCAGCAGCTCGGCGGAGTTATCAGCTAGAGAAGCGCCGTTCGAATCGATACTATTGGCCGTTGACTGAGGCTTCGCAATCATTGACACCAGCGCCATAGGTGTTTCAGCTCGCAGTACATCCCCTACAGATAAGCCTTCAATGGAATTGTCTCGCAGCTTCTGTAGGAGCCGCATCGCACCGAGACTGTCAATGCCTAGCGAGTAAAGATCTGATCTGGGCTTGATTGCGGTGACATCTTCGTCGGATGTTTCTGCAATAAGGTTGACCACCAGTTGTTGTACCCGTTGTGTGTGTTCATCTGTAGCCTCCCAGTTGTCTTGCGCATCAACGGACGTCTCAGATTTGGGTTTCTGGATAGAGAATAAGTCCACACCACCCTGTTGGAGCTTGGCAGATATGGCTTTGCGGTCGACTTTCCCAGAGCTAGATCTAGGTAGAGAGTCAAAGAATGCGTACGACGATGGGCACATGTATGATGCAAGATGCAATTGTGTCGACTCTTGCGCGGTTCGCACAATCTCGTGCTTTTCTACTTCGGTTGCATTATCCACTACTAGACATGCAAAGATCTGTTCGCTGCCTTGCACATTCATGTCCCGCTTCGACACTACGGCCACAACCTCGGTAATACCATTCACAGTGGAGAGGACAGACTCTATCTCACCAAGTTCCACGCGGCGACCACTGAGCTTTACCTGATCAGAGGTAATACGGCCAAGGAACTCAATAACCTGGGAGCCTGTCTCGTCCCAAACAATGCGTGCCATATCACCAGTGCGGTAGACATAACCGAAGTCGGGGCTATGTACAAAGGACTTCGCAGTTTCTTCCGGGCGGTTCAAATAGCCTTTGCTGACCTGCGGCCCTCCTAGCGCCAGCTCCCCAGCAAGCCCAGACGGTATCGGCTTTGGGACATGGGTATTCGGATCGAGGATGAACATTGCACTCGTGGGCAGCGCTTTACCAATGATTGAACCACGAGTGGAACGGTCGACTGGGGCAAGGAAGGTGCAGTTAATTGCGCCTTCTGTGGGACCATATGCATTAACCAGCATGGTTGAAGGCCCTGAAGAGCCATTCACCTCATTGGTATTTGGTTGGGAAGCAAAGTTCTCGATGACTGTTCGATTCAGCTTTTCACCCATAGTCCAGAGAGATTGGAGAGTTGTCAGACGTGAAGGCCGCAGAAGTGCGGCCAAGCTGGGGGTGGCCATCATCACAGTTGCTTTTGCTTCATTGACAGTTGCTTCCAAGTCTGTCAATGTCAAACTCCGATAGGCAGAGCAAAGAGTAGCACCACTGCTCAATGTCACGAAGATTTCCATGAGTGATGGATCAAATGTGGGAGACGCGAACTGGAACCAACGGAAGTCCCCGACGGAGTCTCCAGGGAGCGGGATGGCTGTAGCATGAGACTCGATGGAGCAGGTAACCGCCAAATGGCTAACTTGAACGCCCTTGGGTTTTCCAGTAGAGCCACTTGTGAACAGGAGATAAGCAGTCTGGTTTTCATCTATATCCGGTTGGTCAAGAGGCTCAGACATAGCTGTTGAGGGGACCTGGTCCCCTCGTAGCTCTTTCCACTTAGACACTTCCGTGACGTCAACCCATGTGTGAGTGGTTGTTTTAGCATCTGTAGTTTCCGTGGTCCACGGCATTGGGAACGGCTCAGGTGTATTGCCTAGAATAATGGGAGAGCCAATGTCTTGGAGAATCTCTTGTACTCGCTGTGCGGGGGCATCTTGAGGGATCGGCGAAAACGCACAGCCAGCCTTCAGGACACCGAGATAGGAAATATAAAGTTCAGGGGACGTCGACATATATACAGGGATTATGCGCCCATGATTGGCCGAGTGATCGTGACCGGACAAAAGAGTCCTGATATGGATGGCCAAGTTCGAGGCTGCAGTATTAAGAGCGGCGTAAGTTAAAATGCTGTGTCCTGCGGGTATTTCTGCAGATGCTAAAGAATGTACGAAGTCAAGCGCTATGGTATTAGGCTTTCTATGGGCCCAGCCCTCAAAAGCAGCGTGAAGAAGGGATGGCCTAGAGCTCTCGGCTGCAGCGGCCTCATTCAGTTCTGTGTCCCTGGATGGGGGCACCATGAGTGGAGGGAAATTAATGATCGAAAGCTCAGGAGGGGATATATCGGGGCTAAGGAATGGAGACGAGTCGGCTAGGTGTGAGGCGAGCGTTTTCAACAGTTGAGAGATTGCCGTATCCGGAATGAGTTGCGTCGGATAGGTAAAATCGATTTGTAGAACACTGTCATTCGTAGTAGATGTAATATTCAAGCCGAATACCTACAGGTGCGTCAGTTACCTAAGTAAAGTGCACAAGCTATCTTTAGAGAAGACCAACATTTTCTTGGACGCTAGGTTGTAGCTCGCCATTTTCAGGTTCGACGCTCAATCCTAGGGTCAACGAAAACTGGATCTCGTCCTTGTTGTAGTAGCATGTATCTACTTCGCGCACTTTGCAGCATTCTTCGCCCCTCTGCTGCTCAGCAACATCGGAACAAAACACGGAGGCGCAAATGACTCCGCATGCCTGTTGCGTGGCCGACACGAAGGGCGAGTGGCGGGATACGAAGAAAGCAACATCCTCGAGGCCGGTGAAGCTAGATATGAAACGCGCATAGCCCTGGACGATGCCATCGGCGAGGTTCTGATATTCCGTACTGTAAGATAGCTCAAGTGGGGGACTTCTGGCTACCGCGCACTCGGCTGATCTATTGACAACGTATGGATCGATCGTGTCCAAGGCTGGAACCTTGGTAACGGGCAGTGTTTCGTTCATGGTTATGGACGAGGAGCTGTTGCTCAAGGAAAGGGTCTTTTCGCAGACTGAGTCCGCGGAGCTCCCGTACCCCTCATCGCTCGTGATTTTGCCTGCCATTGCTTCAGTAGTGCGGGGTCACTGCGGCTACTCACCTGCGAACTCAGCGAAACTCGTCTTGCTTCTGCAGCAAGAGTGTGTACCTGCGCGCGTGCAAATAAATGGAAATCACAGCTAGTCAGAGGAGCTGGAAGGATTTGCAACCAAGATATTCCTGCAACTGCAGCTAAAAAGCCACATTCTGCAGCAAACTCAGGAACCATCGTACGGCGTCATCCGTGGGAACGCAAAGGATCACCACACAAGTTCATTGGGCAGAATATGATAAAGTGGGGGTTACTGAGCGGGCTACCGCGGTAATTACAATGGTATTGATTGTGATGTGCAGGATTTGCAAAAAGTTTTGAGCGACACCACACTGCGCGGATGACGCGCCAATCACTCCCCCGATTCTCTTACCGTCGGTCGCGAAGTGGGGGTAAACCAGTCACTCTCTCCGGTCATCGGCCGAGTTATCTGATTAGATCATCTGATTAGATCCATACCGTTTTCGCTAGTATTGTATCCACCGTACTGTATTAATGACAGTACTCCAAGCTGAAAATACTTTCGTCGAATTGTATTCTAGCACAGGCTTCATCTGGCGACTGTGGCCAGGGTCCTGAGTTGAAACCTAATCCTGGGTATTATGTGCTCTTAGATCTGTCGATCTTCCAAGAGGGTTTTCGCTGTGCGGCTATAGGGCTTGCTTTTCCTCCTTTGGACTTGTGCACTTATGCAAAAGCTATTCCTGTCAACGACCGACAGGGTCCGAGGCTGCTGCCCTAGTCATGATATTTGCCTGAAGATTCTCCACAACAGGTTATGCCAGGGGTGGCTGTCAGATGCTCCATATAATGATCCAGTTCATTGGTATGGTGAAAGCGTTTATACGTGGTCGCTCGACTATACACCAGTCTCCAGCTCCGCAAATAAAGACAAAGTGCTATTACCTCATAGCGCCGCTGTTCCAGGAAATTTGTCATGGATGATTCATACTATATATACCTCAACCACGCGTTTTCATGCTATGCAGCCGGGTAAGGCAGTTGATAATAATAGAGTAACCGGCTCTCAAGGGGATGCTATGCCCCGTCAGGAACCACCCTCAATAAGATAAAGACATGGTCGATCCCTGCAGCTTAGAGTAACTAATGCCGAATCCAAGCTGACCGTGGAAGTATCCGATATTGCTTTGTTCAACCAATATAGGCAATGGCGGGTATATCCGTCATAGTTCATGGCATCTCGATAGTTCTTTGACTCTCAATCAATCGACCTTTCTTGCCAAGCGTAGTCTTCATGACTACTTCTCTCCGTTGCTCGTTTATTTAGCTCTCTTATTGACGAGGAACCAGAGAAAACCGGCAAAAAACCATTAGCCGAGTGCACTGGCGTCTTGTCCTGGCTTGGCTAGCTTGGCTAACTCCTGCACATTGATGAGACGGAAATATCAAATATCCCTGCTCCAATGAATATTGCCCTGCGTCTGCCGTCTGTACCGAGGCATTTTGGAGGGCATTTGTGCTACAGATTTTTTTCGGGATCTGACAACCATTTATGGCAATATACTAATCTAATCTGATAACTAAACCCCTCTATTTCACGCTTTTCTGGCCACGTTTCAAAATGAGTCAATTGCCCAATGCAAATTCCAGGTGAGACACCTTTAATAATGAAGATTGAGTTATGTAGAAAAGTTGTGCTTGTTCATCAACGGCTCGGATGCTATGGTAAAATTTCCGAGCTCAGTCCACAGCCGTTATCTGATCTTACCCCAACTGATAAATTGAGGTGAGATATGGTGGAACATCCGGATTGGCTACAACGGGACCCTCCACCAGTCTGTCAGACCGGTGCGCCACCAGTGGAGACAGGAACGCTATGGCTGAGACCTGGAACCTTTTCGTCTCTTAGTTCTGCAAGCGATGTGGTAATGCCCATAGGTGAAATCCGGGTCGAAAAACGTAAGATCTAGGTCTTGGAGCAACCTTGGCGATTGGAACGGGTCCTGGGTGGGTAAGTATAAGGACAAGAACGAGCTATTTACCAGTTAGTACATGCTCCATTGCTACTTTGGGTATTGAGTGCCGAGAGATGAGAAGAGGCGTTTGATGGAACACCCAGAAGGATCCAAGCAAAGACAATTAACTCCCGAGGTATATTAAAGCCTAGAATAGGACGCTTGGTATTTATGAACCGGCATATCCCCCGACCTAGCTCTCTCGTAGAAACTCTTAGTCTGTGGACCAGCCCTGCGACACTAGAAATACATTCGACATGGCAGCTACACGGCGTTTGCAGCAGACTTTGTTACATTTTCAGCCGCCAAAGGCGACTGAACAGCTTTCGATTGTTTACGGCGATACCCAGCCTCCCCTACTAGACATCACCCTCGGAGAGTTACTTGCATTACAGAGCCTTCAATATGGAGAACACGAGTGCCTAGTGTTTCCTTGGACAGGAACCCGATGGACATATTCCAACCTGAACGATGAGGCTGATAGATTGGCCCGAGGCCTATTGGCTATGGGTATCCACAAGGGTGATCGTATAGGGATTATGGCTGGCAATTGTGAACAATACATCTCTGTTTTCTTTGCAGCAGCGCGGGTCGGGGCTATTCTAGTGGTGCTCAACAATACTTACACGCCGTCGGAGCTCTACTATGCTCTGGAACATACAGGTATTTGCGCCTTTGCTGATCGACATTTAACTTCCATGCTGACAGCTTATCTTGATATCTAGATTGCCGATTACTGTTTATGACGCCTCGCATTGGTCGTCATAACTTAGAGGAGGTGCTGTCAAATCTGGGTCCTCATCCCAAGCGGAAAGGATCATCAGCTGCACTGGAAGAGATCGTCATTTTGCGGGGTGAACACTCCAATTTCCCTACATACAACAATGTCATCGAAAGAGGGTTATCGACTTCAAGCAATGCCTTGCTGGATCGACAGGCGCAATTAACACCGGGTGATGTTTGCAATCTACAGTTCACCAGTGGCTCAACCGGAAACCCTAAAGCTGCCATGTTGACGCATCAGTACGTGTGCCCCTAACATATCATGTCCGATGCAGCGTCGATCTCTACATATAATCATTGCTTGCATGTTGCTAATGCTATGATGTTTCCAGCAATCTGGTAAACAACTCCCGCTTTATCGGAGACCGTATGGACCTCACATCATTCGATATCCTCTGCTGCCCTCCACCCCTGTTCCATTGCTTCGGCCTCGTCCTTGGAATGCTAGCTGTTGTCACACATGGGGCGAAGATCGTCTTCCCCAGCGAAACTTTCGACCCGAAGGCAGTTCTCCACGCGATCTCAGATGAAAAGTGTACTGCTCTCCACGGTGTCCCGACTATGTTTGAGGCCATCCTAAGCCTACCCAAACCGGCGAACTTCGACACACGCAATTTACGCACTGGAATCATCGCTGGAGCCCCTGTTCCCCGTCCGTTAATGAAACGGTTGTTCGAAGAATTGAATATGACACAGTACACGAGCAGCTACGGTGGGTGTTGAAACAATACCATCCCTACATATATAAACATGGATCGAACTAACATTTACGCTTATATCAATAGGTCTCACGGAAGCGTCACCTACATGCTTTAACGCAGTCACGACCGACACCATCGAAACCCGATTGAGAACAGTGGGCAAAGTGATGCCCCATGCGAAAGCGAAGATCATCGACGTGGAAGGCCGCATCGTCCCGGTCGGCCAGCGAGGAGAACTATGCATCGCAGGCTACCAATTAACAAAAGGATACTGGAACAACCCCGACAAGACAGCCGAAACCCTAACCACCGACGCTGACGGCACCACGTGCTGAAGACAGGGGACGAGGCCATATTCGATGCGCAAGGCCGCTGCACCATTACCGGACGGTTCAAAGACATCATCATACGTGGTACGTGGGCAAACGTTCCGCAAACCTCCCCTACATTACAGTAACCGTCATGACTGACCGTATACGTGTTTCTTTACAAACAGGTGGAGAAAACATCTATCCATTAGAAATCGAAGAGCGACTGGCAAGCCACCCAGCCATCGAGGTTGCATCGGTGATCGGCATTCCAGACAACAAGTACGGGGAGGTGGTCGGGGCCTTCATCGCTCTGGCTCTGGGTTACGAGGACAAGCGACCATCGGACGAGGAGTTGCGGGTGTGGACACGCGAGAAATTAGGCCGACATAAGGCTCCGCAGTATGTGTTCGTGTTTGGCGAAGAGGGTGTGGATCGAACAATCCCAATTACGGGCAGTGGAAAAGTCCGGAAGGTGGATTTACGGAAGACTGCGGCACAGGTTCTGGAGCAGCGTGCGAAAGCGAATTGAGTTCGCCCTATGCTCGAGCTTTTGCTATTGAAATGATACACAGCTGTACATAGCTAGATGAATACCCTAGGAGCAATTGATTTTCGGTTTTAGACTATATAATATTCATATTGACGGTAAGACGCGCCCGAAGACACCAATATTGTGATTTCAGATTGCAATCATCCGTAGCGAAGCCTGGATCGGGAAACGCAAACAAATCGGAGAAGTAAGGACGTATGCCCCAATGACAAAACCAGAAGCCCCGCTCGAACCTCCGAGAAGGGTGATCCATAAATGCAATTTCCAAGAGTAAATTTGGAGAAAGTACTGGGCAAAAAATTGAAAGAAGAGAGGGAATATGAGAAGAAGGTGGGGGCAGGGGGCGGGGGCATTTGCTATGGATGCCAATGATAACGGTTTAAGTGCATCAGATTAGACAATCATCTAATCAGATGAAATTACGCCAAGAAAGTTTCATTAGGGCTTAGAGCACGACTTATTTCTTACGCGATACACGACGCTGACCACCCCCACTTGGGCTTCATTTTCTTCATACAAAAGGAAAATTCTGACTCCGGTCTCGGCTATTTCTTTAATCTCTTACCTAAGTGTGGAATCGATCGTGCCTTGGATTTTTTGCCGCACAATGAAGTCTGGTATCACGGATCAGATAATCTTAGTTGGTTCTGGAGATCTTAGCTTTTCTCGGCTCGTGTATAGTACGTAGTACAGAGCAGCGGTCCACGAACAGGAAAAGAGAGATAGAGATTGTGTGTGGGAGAAAGAAAAACAAAAAAAGAAAAAATAGGAAAAACAAAAAGACAAAGAAGCGCCAAGATATTACCATATGATCCACTTTATCCGAGAATGAGAAACAGTCCAGTAAGTGATTCAGTTCCCTGTACTTTAACCGCAGCACACAAAATTACACAGTACGTATTCTTACCAGAGTTATACCGATCTATGCCCCAACCAAGAAATGAAGGATATATGCATAGAATGTACAGAAATACCTCGAAGACCCAACATCACAGGTCAGAACGCGGAACAGACTATGTCCCAGCATATCTGAGCTGTTCAGCTTAGAGGGTGAACAAACTTCCCCCCTGGCAGTTCACTAGCATATGCTTCCAAAATAAAGCTAGACGCATAGACATAGTCCAACCTCGTGAACATTAATTCCTTGTGCCCCTAGCAATATTTCTTTACGAGTGATCATATAAGAGCAATCAGTGCATCGAATTGGCTCTAATATTAAATCTTGGAAACCTTGAGGCCAACATGATAATAGTGAAACAGTTGTAGAGGGTCTCTCTTGATGGAATAGAAGGGACAGATCCGGAATGGCTTGAACCGAACAGGGATGCGATGCTTGCCTATGCTTACTCTTAGGACAATCCCCCGATGATAGATAGAGGGTATGATCGGATATGACCGTTGGGGAATCTAGTCCTCAGTAGTCATGTCTTCGAAACAGGATGTATGGGAACTCACACATTTACGTTCTATACGGAAACCTCTGCCCCTGCCAGGACGCGCTTCGCGACCAACCGATTGGCAAGGTTAGGAAGCTAATACGGCTCATCCTGAGAGTATAGAGACAGTAAATGGCATATGTTCGCCTAATAACTTGTATCTTCTTTCTAAGTAGCTCCATACCATTCCTAAGTAACACTTCATGGAAGCCGTCGAACTCATCTTGTTATGTAGAAGGGCATATATAACTCCACTCCGTCCCATGGCTCATCTATGACCATGCCCTACATCTAACAGGTCTCAAAGTATCTGCTAACTCTTGCCAATGCCGGGCAATTTCTTTTCTACTGTTCCTGTAAGTGGATTTAGACACAATGCTTATATGAGAAAGATGGCGTCGCAGGAGCGTCACGCCTGAAACTACGCAAGTCGACTCTGTTTGGGATAGCTTAACGCTCATACAATATTATCTATGGTTCTTCGGATAATCCTAAGCGTCCAGGGTCTGGGAACCTTGTGGCAGCTGCAGGGCCACTCAATCTACATGAACCCTTGCTTCCACTCTCTCGGAAACCTCAACCGATACATCTGCAACGGCCCGGCACTCCTGCGATACTCTAGAGTACGCACCTAGCTCTAGCCTCTATGCATAGCTTGTAGGATGTTGACGATCCCCATCTACAAAAAGGAGAGAAGTGTATCACCAAGGTATGCAAAACAATACTATCAGTCAAGGACGTATTGTATGTATCGAGTGTATGGTAACATGGGCCAAGGCAATGTATTTCCTGAACGATACAAACTTCGGTACACCACACTAGTCCTCTTACAGCACCAGTTCCACTCAGACAGCAAATTTTCTTTCCGACAAGTGTCCCACGCACTATTTTCGCATGTAGATCGGACGGAATGCGTCGTAAATGGCGCAAATCCACTTGTATCCGGCGTGACTCTGAGAGATACATCGGAGCTGGTTTTGAGCCCTGGCATGATGAGTAGTGGGTTCTAGTTCTTGGTCCAGGTTCATCGGAGAGAATTATTCAATGCAACGCATCCTTTAACGTTGTAAAAGCCGATGTCGCCATTTGATATTGTTCTTCATGTTGATGCTTTTAGTGATCTGAGTTTTCTTAGACTGTGAGACATAATCTATGGTCATGCGGGCATATTGGTGGTCATCTGCAGGGACTGATTTGCGTCTCGTAATGCAACACACCCACGGAGACAATCCCACGTGCACCAAGACGATCATCCCATTCTGTATATGGATAGCATGGGATGTACGAGATACAGGGATAGGAATCGAAGGGGGAGATCATTTACAACGAATATAAAAGGGCTTGAGACCAGCTACAGCAGTGATATACTTGGGATATACATGAACCCTACTTCTTAACTCCTTTGTACATACATTAAGCGTCCATGAGCTGGAGTTTTGGGTTCATCTGCCGCGACTTGCTTGAGACTGCCTTAAGCATAACCTGTCTTTCCATTCTGTTTTGAAACTCAGAATCCCTCGGCACTCCGCCTTTGCCTTCAAGGAATTGGACTGGGTAGGGACGACCCTTGGAGCATGATCCCAAGATCAGATCAGATAACTTTAGACGTTAGGTGAGACTCTGGGCGGGACAAAGAAACAGGAAGGCCGGTTGCCGAGGGAGGGGTGACTTCGGATCAGATAACTGTAATTGTGTCTGGAACTGGCGGGTCATCGACGAACACTGATGGCGTATTCAGCGGAGTTTCCGTTTTCAGTCTTTTTCTTCCCCCTTTCTCTTGGATATCCTGCTTTTTCTTTTTCTTTTTCTTTTTTTTTT